GGGTGTGGTGCAGTCGTGCTCATCTAGTCTCTACAACGCAACGCCGACCGCCCACCCCCACACGCGGAAGAACAGCATGAGCGCGCCGCCGGAGATAATCGGCAGCGTGAGGTTATCGTCGAGGCCGCCGAGGTCTGTGCGAGGAAGGAAAAGTTAGCGTGCCGTCGTATCGAGAATGAGACGAGATTATAGAAAGGAATCCAGACAAGGAAACAGCCAAGATCGGACGAATGTGCGTCGCGCCCCTCTCCTCTTCACCACACGTTCCCGTTCTTCGTCTTCCTTTTTAGCTTCCGGGCGCGAAGCATGTCTAGCCAGACTTTCGCTGCGTCGAATCTCGGCTTTCAAAGGATATATGGCGCTGACAATCACGGTGGGAAAGACCCCCAGACCGATGGGAAGGTGCCACCTCCCACCCTCCCCTCCCGACCGAGCATGTCCCTTGAGCCCATCCAGACCCTTGACCCTACGACGGATGCATGGCGCCGACAATAAAGACCCAGACCGAAGGGAAGGCGGCGCGTCCCCGCCCTCCCCTCCTGACCCGCCTGCACCGAGAGCAAGAGCAGCTCGCGCGGCCCCCTCTCGCGCCAAAAAACTCTGGCCACCTCCCCCTCCTCCCTCCCTCCCCCACCCCGAAATCCACCACATACAAGAACCAAAACCAAAACACTCACCCAGCGCCTCCGCCACCCCGCTCACCACCCCCGCGCACAGCACCAGCGCGACCAGCCCGCCCACCCCGCTCACGCCAAAGCGCGCCGGCGTCGTCGTCTGCAACACAACGTGCGTCAGTACGTGTTTTTCTTGACTTGTCAGCGAAGATTGAAGATTTGAATATTTGGGCGTATGTGGGGACAGGGATATCCTCGGGCACGCGCGCATACTCTTCTTCCCCACGGACGAGGAGGGAGAATACGCATACACACGCCGAACGGCACCCCACCGCCCCAAACCGCTCGACAAAACAGCAGAAGGAAAGCAAAATCCCACTCACCTGCCCCGCCACCGGCGGCGCCACCGCCAGCCCCCCACAACGCCCTCCGGCACCCACCGCCTCGCCCACGCGCCCGCCTCGCTGCGGAGGTACTGCCCCGCGATCGAGTACTGCGAGTGGTAGGTCCCCCCCGAGGCTGCGCCCGAGTCTGCTACGCCTGCAGGAGGAGGGATTAGCATGGTATATGGCGTACGGGTAGAAGCGCATGGGAACAAGAGGAAGCGCGAAGAGAAGGGAATGTGTGGATCCAAGACAAGACAAGCAGAGAAGAGAGACTAGACGCACCCTCCGCCACAGCGCGCATCTCCGCCACGCCCCGCAGCCCCGCGAGGCCCAGCCAAAACGCGAGCGCCACGAGCGCGCCCGTGACGCACGCCGCCGCGAAGCCCGCCGTGCTCTTGCGCGGCGCGAAGGGCGTCTTGAGGCGCCGTGCCGTCCTGGGGACGCGCGGGTTCTCCTTGATGTGCCCGTTCCCGTTTGCGTGGCGCCCGTTCCCGTTTGCTTGAGAGGAAGAGGAGGGAGAGGAGGAAGGGGACGAGGGCGAAGGTGAGGCGAGGAGGAAGCCGGGGACCCACACCCACGCGGGGAGCCACGCGAGGGAGACGCTCGCGGGGAGCGGGGCCGTGCGCCGGCCGTACATGCGCCCGACGGTGGAGGCGGCGGTGTCCGCCCAGGAGAGGCTGGGAAAGGAGAAGATGGGGATTAGCGAGTTAGAAGAAGAGCAGGGGGAGGGAGAGAGGAGGAAAGGAGAGGAGATAGGAAACGACACGGGAAGTGGTGCAGAGGTCCAAGGCGCAGAGGTCCGAGTTGGATCGGAATTGCCACAGCGGGCGCATCTACAGAAATCCTCCGCGACCAGCTATCCACAGCTCAACAAGCCACGAAATGCGTCGCTCCAGCAGATAGCAGCCTCAAAACCCTCCAACGAGTCCGCCGAAGGAGAAAAGCCAAAAAACAGATAAACACGCGAAAAGCTCGACACTGAGGCCCACAGAGAGAATGCGCGAATGCCAGCGCGGCATGCAGGTAAGACGTGAGGGTTATCGCGACGCAGCGACGTCGTCACGTCATGGCGGGAGATGACGCCAGAAATGCAGAAAGAAGAAACGCCCACACCAAAACAAAAACAACCGACTCAGCCCGCAGCACGCGGCAGACCGAGGTCGGGGAAAGAAAAGGAGCGGAGGCGTGTCTCGACTTCGGTGCCTTTGCCGAAGAGCGAAAGAGAGCGCGAGGAAGGGGCGCTGCTTCCCCGCTCCGTAATGCGACAGAATATATGAAAAACAAGCCACCCCAGAATCCCTCGAAAAGATGGATGCCCGCCGCGCACCCAAGTCCCCCGCGTGGCGGGAGATACATCACCACGACATGGAGGTATGGCGAGGAAAATCTCGCCGCCGGACGCACGCAGGAAAACGCAGTGAAATTGAACGCCTCAAACTGACACACAATCGGCACCGCCAGGACAAGCCAGGGCTGCAAGCCGACGACGACCCGAACATGGAACGCTCGAGGGACACTCTGCACGGAAATAGATCGACGAAAGAATCCCCAAACACCGCCGCGTACGAAGCGGAAGCCGAAGCCCGCCCGAAGGAGAAAGCGAAAAACGCATAAACATAAACACGTGAAAGGTGGAATGCAAAACGTCGCCGCTCGACGCCCGACGCCCGATGCACCCAACGGCAGAGAACGTAGTAGAAGTGAAGAGCAGACGGCGAGAGGAGGGTTATCGCGGCATGAGGCGCGCGATGACGCAAGAGACGCCGGGAGCGGAAACGCGCCCGCCGAAGGAAGAAAGAAATCTTTTCGGGTGGCACGCGATCCGGAGCACGCAGCACAGAACACTGCAGAAAGGGGAGGCGCCTCTTCGCGTGTCTTACACCAACCGAGAGGGGAGCAATGTCTCGGGCCGACGGAAAAAAGGAGGCGAGTAGCAGAGGAAGAAAAAAGGAAGCGAGGGGCGAGGGGAGGGGACACGCACATGAGGATGGAGACGGTTGCAACGTCGATAGGATAGAATGTGAGCGCAAAGTTGCAGCCGAGGATGTACCAGAGCGTCCCGTTTGTGCCCGTCTACACCGCAGTTAGCTTAGCTTGAATGCCGTGAAAGAGGGAGTGCGCACCCGCTCGCTCTCGCGCATAAGGAAGCCGAGCAGGCGCTCGTATACGCGCTCGACGGCAGGGACTCGCAGACGCACGACGTCCGTCGGGGCGATTACGGCAAGCGCTGACCACAGCACGACGGTCACCGTCCGCGGGGCAATGCTCGGCGTCAGGTACAGGCCCAGTGTTATGAAGCCTGCATTGATTCACCGTGAGCACCACATTATTGAAGAGAGAAAGCGAATGCCACCGACCGATAGACGAATGGAACACCTTGCGCGGGATCTCCCAGTCAATCTTCTTCACCTCGGGCTGCGCCCTCTGCTTCCCCTGCCGCTTGTCTGCGCGCAACGCAGCGGCGACCTCTGTCTCGTCCTCCATCTCGTGGTGCTCGTCGTCTGGGACGTCCTCTATGGCGTGGCCGAGGCCTTCGAGGGTGCGGATGACCTTGCGGGTGACGACTTGGACGCTTCCGGTGGAGGGCGACGGGCTGGCGGAGGAGCGGCGGCGGTGGGCGGGAGGAGGAGATTGGCTCAAGGACATTTAGTGTAAGGAGAAGTCCGTCCGTCACACACCGTCACACTCGGAGGATGACTAAATGGGATGACTCGGCGATTGTTCTTCAATCACTACACTGTGCTAGGAATCGCCGGTGCGCGTCTGCGAAATTTCCAGCCGTCTCAAACCAACTTACGCAGAAGGCCCCGTTCGATTCGGGGTCGGGCCATGCACTCGAAGTCCGTCTTTTTTTTCAACCAAGGCAAAGGTAGTCTCTGTAACAGATACCCTATATTGATGACGAACAAGTAAGTATCAATATAGGGTCTGTTAGTAAACATGACCATCTTGTTGGCCCACCGATCAAATTTCTTCTCGCGTTTTGCCTCCGCCTCGAGGCGCTGATAAATCTGAGAATATTTGAGAATACAGATCTACTTCCAATTCAGAGGCCCCTCCCTTAAACCTAAGAATTTCCTTCATTCGTTGTCGCGGTATAAGCTGAGTTTTCTGAAGCATTTTACATAAGCAGCTTTTTGGCCTGATCCTGTTCTGGAGAAGTGACTGGCTAAATCGAGATTCTTGCAGGATAGAATGTTTGAGTTTGCTCCAGGAGTCTTTACAAATATTTCCGGATTTTTGACGAGGCCCATCGCTGCAATACAGGCGAACTGGCTGTCGGCTGGCACAGCCACCATATTGCGTAATCAGTCAGTCGCCCAACAATCAGACCGTGATTGCTATCAGACTAAGGCAAAGGTACTTAAGTACGGCTAACTGCGCAGTAACGAGTTCACGTTGTAACTGCCCTCTCGTTACCGTTTCTACTCAATGCATTCAACGGCGTAGCCAGAGCACTACTGTAGTATTTCGTTCAATTCGTATGGTCACGTGTCACACGGCCAAAAATCTACGAAAATTTTCGTAAGTCACCCAGTCACAGAGGCGATTTTGGGCTTAGCCGAGCGTTGCCGGCGGATCAAATTCCCTAAGGGGGACCGGTTACGAAAGGGTCAGTTCGTACGATGGTGTCACACCCCAAACCGCCTTACGAATTGAACGAAATACAACAGTAACACCCGGTAGCACATGGCGTGCATCTGCATATCTTGCGACACGAGCAAGACACGAGACAATTATGCAGCGGACCCCCGTTCGACCCGGGGCTGGGTGATTTCAATTCTTTGACCACGATCTTTTTTCTGGTAGGTCATCCTTGATTATCATATTCCGTCGCTGACCTGACCTTGCTATTTTTGCCCGTAAACAGTGGTGCATAGGCATACGAAGAGCATAAGCTTGCAGGAATTAAATCCACCTCACCCGTCAGCATGTACAACTTGATTCGAATTCAACGCTGGGATGCATTTCAAGTTAACAACGCAGAACACTATCTGACCACCCGGTAGCACACGGTGTGCATCTGTATACGATGAGAAACTCGAGGCTAATTATGCAGAAGGCCCCCGTTCGATTCGGGGCTGGGTGATTACTTGTGGCTATCTTTTTCTGGTAGGTCATCCTTAACTGTCTTATCCGCTTACCTTGCTATTTTTGCCCCCAAATAGTGGCGCATAAGCACAAGGCACATGTTGCTTGCAGGAATGCAGCTCACCCGTCAGTATGTACAACTTGACTCAACGCTAAAGTGAATTTAACGACGCATGGCACTATCTAACCACCTGGTAGCACATCGGTGTGCATCTGTACACGGTACTACCGTATCGACGACCAACATTATGCAGAAGACCCCCGTTCGATTCGGGGCCGGGTGATATTGAACTCGGTGGGTCTTTTTTCTGGTAACGGTCATCCTTAAGTATTTATCCGCTGATCCTGCGTTTTTTGCACACAAACAATGGCGCATACACATAAGTAGGGCATGAGCTTGCAGGAATATTAATCCAACTCGTCCGTTAGTACAACTTCATTCAACGCTGAAGTGGATTTACTCTAACGACGCAGAACACCAGCAGAACAACACCCGGTAGCACATGGTGTGCGTCTGCACCTCATAGTATGCCCTTCTTCCACCATCATGAAGATTATGCAGAAGGCCCCCGTTCGATTCGGGGCTGGGTGATAGCAACATAAAAGTGGTTCTTTTTTTGGAATGGGTCTGACTCCGTTTCAGAGGTTGAGGTTGAATATACAGGTGCCTGTGTTAGCCGTGCGTACCGTTTCGTTCACCCAGGCCCTCAAGTTGAGCAGCCACGGCCCATGGCCACGGCGCATCCTAATTATTATCAGTTGCAGAAATCGAACTTACCCGCAAGCCCAGCTCGATTCGCTCTGAGCGAATACATTCAACGACGCGAAATACCATATATATCGCACCCAGTAGTACATGGTATGCATCTGCTTCTACTGATAAGTTGTGGGGTTTCCCAGCCGGTAATTATGCAGATGGCCCCCGTTCGATTTGGGGCTGGATGATAATACCCTCTCTTCATGTTTTTTAGGTTGGTGTGCATATTCTTTGCTGATATCCCCTCCAGCGTGACACCTAACAAATTCCTTGGAAGGCGCAGACAATGGAGCACACATCCCTAACTAATTATTTTCCCGAAAATCCTGCTATGAGATCATTCAAGGTTCAAGTTCCAGTTTGGTTCAACAGCGAAACTCCAGCTGATTCACATACTCACCCGCGCAGAGTATACTATCGGTACATCAGAGGAAATTTGCCGTGCTTGGTGAGAATATGACGCGTTCTCGGATGTACCTACGGTAAGAGTTTTGTATATCCTCCGCTTCTGATCTTGGCTAGATCAGAAAAGGCAACTTGTGGCTGTGCGGTGGGATTAGCCGCAAGGATCTTGCAAGGATCAGAGCAGTCAGGCCTAGTCAGGGACGAGCCCAGGGGGGTAGAGCGCCTGGAATTCAAGCACGCCACTGCCGATATGCCTCCAGTTTGACGGCCGCACTCACTGCGTTCTGACCCCCTGTAGACACACCTGTGTCTACGTTGATTGACATGTGCCGACATGTGGCGATGTTCGGCTACGTCCGGCGATCTGCGTCTACACTCTAATGTAGACGCACCTTTGCCGCGGTTGATTGATGTCCGGCTACGTTCGTTTACGTGAGGTAGATGCAGTGCATCTACCTGTCGGCTACGTGTGTCTGCCTGCATCTACAGTGTAGATACACCTCGCTCAACTCCGTAATGCAAACTCGGCCAATCTTGGTATGAGACAGCATCAAAATTGCTCCTCGGACGAGTCTTAAGTCTCTTGGTAAAATCTATGCCTTTTAAAGTTTTACATAACCTTTGCATCACCTACATGCGGCTACATGCGGCTACATCGGCTAACATGCGGCTACATCAGCCAATATGCGGCTACGTCGACCGACTAATGTGGATGGACTGTAGACATACTGCATCTACCTCATGTAGACATAGGGGTCCATCTACCTTTGGCTACGGGGGTAGACGGACCCTCTGTCTACATGGGGTGGGAACGCAGTGACTGTCACACAATCTTCACATCCTCTAACCTTAGGTTAAACCTACCACCCCAGATCCTCTCCTGACAATACATCTCCCAGCCCTCCTCGCCGTCCTCCTCGGCGTCGCCCACACAACTCTTGCAACGCTAGCCCCTCCTTCCCCGAGCATCAACCTGACCAGCCCCACGCCCATCTCGCCGTTCGACCTACCAGCCCTGCTCCCGGTGCCGTCGCACCCCAACCTTGCTGCTAGCGAACTCATCCGCACGATGCTCAGGCACTACCTGCTCAGCATCGACAGCAAGAACTTCGAGGTGTTGGCACTGGTATTCGCCGCTGACGCTGTGGCGAACTACTCGGCTCCGCTGAACGTGCTCACGCCACTGGCGACCATCCAGGCCGTGCTCGCGAGCAGCCTGGAGAAAGTGACGATGCAGCATTCGCTGGGCACGCAGATGATCGAGGTCCTGAGTGAGAGCGAGGTGTTTTCCGTCACGTATTATACGGCGACACATTTTGGAATGGGGGTTTACGAGGGTGAGATAGTGGTGGGGTATGGCCAGTATCAGGACTATTGGGTTCTTCAGCATCAGAGCTGGAAGATCCAGCATCGGAATATGGTGTATATGGTTGGTTTACTTTCCCCTCCAGCAAAACCTTACTGATGTAATCACTCATTAGGGGCCACTGATTGGAAATCTCTCCATCTTCACTTAGATGCCTTTACATTTTTCACGAGATTTAGTTACTTGACCCATAACCAAATGAGTCAAGCATCAAGTAGGGAAATAGAGTAAAATCCATATATTTATGCCTGTACAACTTTTATTTCCTTCCCGTAACGCCATGCTATTCCCATGCCTCCTTTCGTTCCACGCCCGTCCCAATGCTCCATCGTAAACACGTAATTCATAAACGTCACTTCCACCGCTCAACCATGGCCATCTACCATTACGAGAGATACAACAAGCGGAATCCTGCGGGGCTGACAGCCCTTTATTAATTTTGGCTGCCGAACAGCTTCTCCTCCCCTGGTTCTCTCTCCCACCCACCGATCCACCGACATTTCCGGTGAAACGAAGGAGGGCCTGGTGGACCTGCAAGTGGTTTCCCAGCCTGATGCCGATGCCGACCCCTTCAATTCGGGACCGACAATGGAGGAAAGGGGCATGAGCGACAATCAACCGTCCAGCGATTCTTCGGCTTCTTCTGTATTGGACGTGACGGAAAACCGAGGTTGAGTCTACGCCGGGGATATGAAAAGACCTTTCTGTGCGTGATGTTCCACAGAGCTACTATCTTTTATCAGCTACCTGGCCACACTACCTAGCTGGCCACTTCGGACCTAGAGAGTCCAGGTTTGAAAATTGCTACGAGCCATGGATGGAGGATGAAATACGACCTGTAACGCAAGTGTGGACCAAATTTGAAGGCAAAATGATGAATTGATCCCAAGTTATGGCAGGTCCGACCTCGGACCGAGGGGTGGGAACATCAATTCCTTATGTTTACACCGCCTCGCTGACTTGTCTTGAGTGTTTCTCTACCAGTTCTTCGTCGTTTTGCAAGTTCTTTGGCACGTCTTGCTTCTCTAGCTGCTGGTAGTGATCTCTCATGCCATTTGACACCAATATGTCAATTTTCTCCTCTCGGCGCACTCAAGCGGACGGCGTCACGTTTTTGAGGTGCACTTGCTGGCCACCCTCATATTGGATGACACCATTGTGCTACCGGTCCAGAGATTGGCATGCGACTTCTTCCTCCTTGATAGAACTCTTCTAGATGTATCCCAAGATTTTCTCCATTCAAACCCCTTAGCGCCACCGCTGTTTAGCCCAAATCACCCATTCTCGATGTCGCTGACAGTCAGAATTTTTGGACGAGCTGTCACGACCTTGAGGTGGAGTTGGGTGTTCAAGTATGCTCTAACACTTCCAATAAAACTCTCCACCTCGCAATTTTGAACCCCACAGACTTTTCCCCTTGTTACAGGCCCAGTCTGTTATGGACCACAATTTTTGGGGTCCACCTTTTGTCAGAAGTAGATATTTTGACCTCAGAAATCACTTGTACGTAGGATGTGGTAGCCTAGAATTGTACCTCTATGCTCTCTATATGATTTCTGATACATGTGGCCCCCACTCCGTGCTTCCGCCGATTATTTTGCGGGGTGGCCATCTAGCCGGTATTTGGTCATGTTGAACTTGTCACCGAAAGATATTCACTGCAACATCAAATCTTCAGATAATTTGGTTGAAGTGGACTTGAACTCTTTGTAGGATGCCTGCCTTCAATCTGAGATAATAGGGCTTGGGCAGGTTGCAGTAGGGCGTTCGGGCGGTTTCGGGCCATCAGAGGCATGCTTAGTCACCTGTTTGCGCATGTTGTAGGCAGTTCCTGGCTTGCTCTATCCCTTGCATCGCGACACTGCGGGATCCTCTCTCGACCAGCGCCAGCGCATCCGGCCATCCTACCGCATATGGTGATTGGAGTGTGCTTCGACGACGACCTTTCGGACTCATCGTTCTGCCGCGCTCACCACTTTGACTCTTTTGGCCCAATTTGGCTGGACGAAAAAACCTGAAAAACAATGACCGCAAATAAACGAGCTATCGACGATACAGAAGATGAGTTCCGGGCTGCGCTAGCCACTTACACCAAGGCGGGAAACAAAACAGCCGCGATGCGGCGCCTATGGAATGCAGCGTACGAGAAGGGGAAGATGGCAGTGGTGGCAGCAGAGGCGCGGTGCCCGGTACCAACACCAGAGGAGTCTCGGGATCTGGATATTGGGGCAGCAAAGCTGAGGGGTTTTGCGGAAGGACGGAGGGCTGGTTTTGAGGAAGGACGACGAGTTGGTGAGAAGGGGGCGATGACGGTGGACGCGGTCGAGCTTTTGTTCGCTTCGGGGAAGGCGGACAGGATGGAAATTGGCCGAGAGAAGGAGAACCTGCGATGGAAGGAATTGGGGCATTTCGAGGGTACATGTCGCTCTGTTACCAGCGCCACAGATGCCGGCGTCGAGGCCGACCCTTC